GATTTTATTAGGGTTGAACTGTTGAACGCCCTTATTATTTCGTTTGAGCGCCCGCGAAAGACCGACACGCCCCTGCAAAATGGAGGTAAGTTTTTTTTTTCGAAAAGGGGAGGGAGGCGAGGGAGGACCGCGCCAGCCATTAACGGCTGGCGCAGGAGAAGCACGTCACCTGTATGGGGGTGGCGTGCAATAAACTCGCCTCCCTTTACAGGGAGGCGAGACGGCCTTCGCCATCGGCGAAGGTGGTGGCGCCAGATTTGGCGCCACCTTTGTTCGGGTTGGCAAGCAAATTCTCGCCAACCACCCGATGGTTGGCGCCCGTTTGGGCGCCACCCATTTTTTTTATTTAATTATTTTTTTTAATTTTTTAATATATTTAATATTTATTAATTTAATAAATATTATAATTAGTTTAATAAATTTAATTAATTCATGTATATATTTTATTTGAATATTTGTTTGGTAGTTTAATGTTTGTTTAGAAAATTAGGGTTTATGCTAATTAGGGTTTATGATATTTAGAGAATATATTTTAATTACGTATATTGTTCATAGGTTGTAGTTGTTATATTAAATGAGTTAATATCTTGTTAATAATGTATTTAAATTGTTCTATGTTTTAATTATGTTAATTATGTAGTATGTTCGTATGTAATAGTTTGTTTCTTGTTAAATGGGTGTTTAGGTAGTATGTTAATGGGTGTAGTTGTTAGGGTTTAGGATTTTTGTTAAAATAATGAATTTTTGTTAATAATGTATTTAATTTTTATTAGTATATATTAATTATCTTTAAAGTATAAGATCATTATATCAGATTATATATTTTGGTTTTTGCTCATAGCAGATTATTTGTGGTTTAACAATGTTAGAGTTAATTTAAGTTATGATATAATTCGTTTTTAATGTGTGCAGGATAGGTTTGATCAGGGGGACGGAGTCGATTATAGTCCGGCTTTTGCTACAGACGAGACTTTTGCGACGAAGAAGGAAGCTGTTGCATATGCGAAGGGTATTGCGAACATCTATAATATCGAGTTAAGTGTATCCTCGCACAAGGATAATAGTACTATACTCCTTTGTCACAAAGGAGGGCAGTACCAAGGTCAACAGGTGGATGATAACGTGCGCGCCCGAGTTAATACAAAGACACAGATGACCGGATGCCAGTTTTGCGTTACTATTCACAAGATATATGATAGGTGGGCGATCCGTGTATATCTAGGTCCGTGGGGAATGCACAACCATTCATTGAAAGATCCACCTCGAGTGCAGGAGGCCATTGAGTGCAGAAGTGAAAGAGCTTATTAAGGAGTACTCTAAAGCTGGGACTAAGGCAGTCCACATTTTACGGGCGATATGGACACAATTTCCTGATGAAAAGGTTACTTCCAAACAAGTCTACAACTACAGAAATCATTTGCGTAAGGCGGGGTTTCCAATTCTAGATGATCTGGCTGCCATGGACGTAGGTGTTAGAGGTCGCAGAACAACACAAATACATCATCTTCACAGAGTGGATGAAGAGACACAGAGGTTATCCTACGTGTTTTTCGCACATCATCATCGTCTACGTTGGCTGACTCACCAAGTGGGCCAAACGTAGGATGTACATTTTTCACTTTCTTTAACTTTTTTTCTTTTTCTGCTCGATGTTCGGCATACAGATTGCGCGTAACTGTATGCTGATGTCCAGATTCCTCAAGAGGCGATATCCCATCCTACAAAAGTTTCAAATTTTACACGTAACTTAGATTAATAAGTTTAATACAGTTTTATATTATTTAAATACCTAATTATAAAATTATCTACTATACATCTTAAGTGTACAATTTATTAAATCTACTAAGTACAATTAATAATATGTACATATTTTTTTTATTTTTTAACCAAAATTAAATAAATATATAATTTATTATTTAATTTTAACCATAATTAAATAAATATTTTTTTATTAACTCTAATTATCTACTAACCTCATGTATTTTTTTTTAATTTGAACTTATTTATTTAATTTTCCTATACTAAGTATTTAATTTCTACGTTTGATATTCTTTTGAGGCTAATTACAATTAAACCGACTAATCCAATAAATATATTTTCTATAATTAAATTAATTATAATAACTTTCATAATAATCCAAATTAATTTAAAAACCGTTAAACTCCCTAAAACTACAATTGAATTCCTAAAACTACAAAAGTATTATAACTAATTTATTTATTGAAGATTAAACATATACTTTTAATAATAGTGTTTCCTAAATAAATAAACTAATAAAAATAAATTCCTACCATTAAACTATAAAATTATAAATTTAACTAATAATAAATAATTAAACTAAATTTCATAAGATCTACAATTACTAATAGTAACAATTAAATTACAATTACTATATAATTTATAAATAATAATTAAATTTAAATATATAAAATAACAAATTAACCAAAAAAAAAAAAAACCGGCGCCAGCATTGGCGCCGGTAAATCTCGCCAGGTGCTAGCCGCCTGGCGAGACTTTTCTCGCCACCCCACCGTTCGGCGGCGAAGAAACGGGCGCCACCACAGCCCCGACCAGCGAGCGAGATTCGCGCCGGGGCGTGCAGAGCTGGCGCGCAGATCCGCGCCAGCTCTGTAAGGAGTGGCGAAGATTTGGCGCAGATCTGCGCGCCAGCTCTGCACGCCCCGGCGCGGATCTCCCTTGCCGGCGGGGGCGGTGGTGGGTTTTTTTTTTAAAATACTCCTACATAATTCTAATTCAAAAAAACAATTCAAATTTACGTACCTTTAGTTTCCGTAGCTCTTTACGTAGCCGTTTCATTCGATCAGCCATTGAATCTAAGTTTCTAGGAATTTGGATTGAGAAAATTTGAAATGAAAGATTGATTTAGGAATTGAAAGAATGAAATTGAAACTCTTAATTTATAAAATCATGTAGGGGCAAAATGATCTTTTGATATTAAATTAAGGCGCTCAAGGAAAATTTTTAGGACATTTAGTAGCCTCCCAGTTTTATTATATTGTTAATTAAAAATTTACGACGCAAAACCTAAATAAACTTACGGCCTCATTTTGGCTATGATCATCGATCTCGATCACACACTTCTGTCCAATTACTGTAAAAGGTTCCGGCTGGCTTCTTTGGCAACCATCTCGATCGTATATGGTCATTACCATTGACAAAGGATCATCACACTTGAATAAAACTACCAATCACCGCATAATTTTCTTTTTGCAAATTCATAAGCATATCTCCGTACAGTTGAACCGTACCTTCAGGGTTAATGTGAATATCAACCCACTCCGACTGATTAGCTGTTGAACACTTAATTTGATTGTGATGGTCCCGGCGGCTCAATAGTGGGAATAATCGCTTCCCAAGCACCTATTAAAAAAATATATAACAGCAAAGTTAATTTGGTATCACAATTACAAAAACAATGATTCTGTATTATTGTAATATTTAGTATATTTCCTAATGATGCTGTATTATTATAATATTTAGTATATTTCCTATAATGTCCTAGTTTAGCATTTGTTATTGTCTATATATAGTCTGTATATCGTGCATAACATATCATGAATCCAATACAATTTCTCTATTCTAAGTTGTATAGTTTAATAATGAACTTACCAAACCGGTTGCGCTGAAATCAAACGGCACAATCCATAGCATGTTGATAGATGACATCTTCTCTTATTGACAATGTTATGAAACTACCTAAAATGATTTCGAAATGATGCCTTTGGGAGTGTGGCTTAAACAGCTTTTGTTTGGTTTCTTGTTTTTTTGATCACCTTTAAGAATGACCCGAAAACAGGGTAAATTAAAGGAATTTTTGTGATAAATAAAATAGGATAATAAAGATAAAATTTGAAATTGAATGAGACGGGATCTTCTGCATTATCTATACCACCTTAAACTCTGATAGATGAATTTGTATTCCACTATCAACGCAAGTTTGATTACATGATAGACGGAAAAATTTAAAACATCTAGAAAGTTATGAAAGTTAACCCTAGGCTAATTTGTAACTAAAATTTTTTTTATTCATTACATAATACTTTGAAAATTAATAAAATGGAGGACTCTTTTGTTTTTTCTTTTGTTTTTGTCTATTTATAACAAATAATATACCTGGCTTTTCTATATAAAATAACACAAAGTGGGTAACTTAGGTAGATTTGAAGTAGCAGATTAAGATTTTGGGAATTATCTATACAGTTTATTTTATCTCCGAGGAAGTTGTGTTGCATCAAACAATTTAATGATTTATGGCCTCACGAACTGCCTAAGCAAAATGTATTATATCTCCGAAGAAGTTGTGTTTTCTAAATGGCTGACTTTATTTTTTTAATAAAAACAAAATATGACAATACAAATTTGGACATAGTATATGTGGAAAGTGTTCCTTGCCTTCATTTAATTTTTTCAAAATAATTTCGGTTTTTTTTTTTTGGTGTGATGAGCACTTTAACGGAAAGCTTAATTTCAAATACTGTAAAATCTTTTTATTTTACCATCATTCGGTGTTTCAAAAATTAAGTACCGGTTTTGAAATAATTTGCTGGAATTTACACTCTAAAAAGTGCACCTTTAAAGTATAACTATTGATAGTTGGGAGAGTATTCGGATTGATGATTAAGCAGACAACCTGGTTGCTTCATTCCAGTAGTGATTGTTGTTCATAATAATTTTCAATTAGTTATACGAATTCACATGAAAAGCTGATAATATTATTGAGAATAAACAACCTCTTATGACAGGCCGTATGTCCTTATTACATTTATTCCTTATAGAAGGGAACAAAACTAACAAAAATATCAAGAAAAATGTCTTATAAAAAAAATAACTATAAAGATAAACAACTATATCTATATATAGCTTTATTATTCATGCATGCGGCTTTATTCGGTACATTCAGATTCAGGAATCCTTCACCGTCTTGAAGTGATCCTCATTCCTGATGTATGTGGACTGGAAACTAAGTTGTTAATAAAAAATCAAGCTTCTTTCTCAACCTTCACTCTGACCCTTTTTTTTGTGTTGTTTGATTGCACACTTTCAGGATCATTAGCAAGACGTTTGCCCCTTGAATTTGGTAGAGATTTAATTGGTGTTGCATCAAATTCGTTGGAATCACTGTCGGTATCCGTATTAAGCCCATCGTCATCCTATAGAAAATAGAAGTTTGAAACAGTCTTAGAACAAATTTGTAAAGAAAATAAAAAATGTGACTTTGTTTAGGTATAAACTCACATCTGTTACATCTGTCATGGAGTACACTGTATCATCTGAAAATTTCTTCGACGAAGGAGTACCAAACTTAACTTCCTCAACCTGTTTTCATGAAATATAAGTCATATCATCAGAAAGAATTTTATCTTATACTATAGAGATTGCAAAGAAAAGTAAACAGAGTTGTAACTAAGTCTATTAAGAATGCGGGTTATGCGATGGAACCTGGCCAAGTTTGTGGAGTTTCTGGAAATCTTCGAATATCTCCGGATCGTTAGAGACCTTAGCAACTGGATATATAAATCCATAATCACGACTTTCCTTTCGCTGTGATACATCCAGCTTGATAAGACATTTCTTCCCTAACAGATCATCTAGCTCAACGGGGTACGCCTCTTTAGTAACATCTGATCTCTGAATAAAAATAAATGTTAATTGCTAAGCAAGTAACTAATAACATCACCATAATCGAAAATTACTATCTCCAATCGTAAAAATATATAGAGAGTACCTTCACATGTTTCTCACGGACATCAATGGCTGATTTATTGAGGAGAGACCTAACTTCGTGATCCCACAAGAGCAACACAATGTCAGTCCCACCTTGTACTGCACGTATTTGTAATTTGAACCTAAAAGTAAATTACATGGAATGAATTGAGTCATTTGAATGGCTACACTAAGAATTAGAGGGCGCAAAATCTAAACTAAATGAAACGATAAGTTTACCTTGGGGTGATTGCAGCATTTGTATCATTACACTTGGTACACATAAATGATTTCTTGGATGAAGGTTGAATGGGATCTTCGCCGTTAGCTGCGTTTCCTTCCCAGGAAGTGTTGGTCTTTCCCGATTCACTTTCATTGGCACCAGCATCAACACGCTTAACGGCCTTACTGCACTTCTTACATCCAATGTACCACCATTGATGATCTTGAATCAACATGGATATAGTTGCGACAACAACATAAGTGGACTTCTATGGAGATTTCATAAATAACTTATACGCCAAAAAATATAATGAACTTCGGAAGAGTTACATTTGAAATAATTAAACAGAACATACAGGATCACAATATTCAAGGTGGGAAATGTTAATGTACTAAATATCGGATAGGGGGCTGAGGATGAACTGCGTGAAGACATATGACTAATCCTAACGGACGAGCTTTGAATACCATCAGCTCCAACCCACATGTTGATCACAACAAGTTTAATTGTAAATCTATCACAGCAATAGAATAAAAAATGACTAATTACCTTGATCTATACTCTCTTATTGGTTCAATGTCAGTGTTCAAAAAAATCTTTGCGCAATGGTATGCTGTCTGGACGTAATTTGTACCTACGCAAACGCAAAGAAATCTTCAAAATTCTGTACAGCAAAATTACGAACAAAGATGAATCCAGTTAAGATAAACTCTGATTATACTTACCATTGAATTCTTTGACAATTCCATGCTGAAGGATGATTATAACACAACCTTGCAAACCACCAGCTACAAAATCAGCGGCTCTAAAGCATGTTTATTCCACAATGTGACTTGCAAACGGTTTTTCCTACAACGAAATATATAATCAGATCTGATCATAAACTAATCAAAAAAATCTGAAGCAAAAATAAGCACTGAAACGTGACAGCAGTTTGTTCGAATAATTAGGAAAACTTACTCAACATGTTCCAGGTAGAGATCAAAGATTTTTGTCTTCTCACCATCAATGTATCTATCATGGAGATCACCCTTTCCCACAAGCTCTCCAATAACGTCTGGAATTTCAAAATAATTAACAAATAATTAATCAATATATCAAGCCACGTTGAGATGGAATAATAATTGAATTAATTTGATTAATACCTATCAAGTAAGTCGTGTCTGGAACCTTGTTCAAAATATCACCAAACCCTGCAAACTCGAAACCAAACTTTGGGATTGAATCGTCTTGACGAAACTGAACCAAAGTGTTTGGATAGAAACAAATCTTGTATTGGTGTCTATTAGTTCAATAAACTCCTCCGACTTTGACAATATTGAAATTGGACAATAGCTTGACAGTGCCTTCCTTCAATTTGTCCTCAAATCTCTTGATCCACTATTTTGAAACCTGAGCAAGAATTTTAGTACCCTGCACAAAAAGTGCTCGATTTATCACAAATACCAAACTGAGATAGTGATATAGACATAATGAAAATTTGAATATAGGTTAAATCCAGTGATAATTACATATACCTTGGCATCAATCAAGAGAGGTTCAAGACATGCTACATCTTTAGATTTTGCATAGGTTGGTTTCCAAGTTTGGAGCACATGAACATTAACTCTCCAATTGGACTTGATCCTTGTGGAGGTGATATCTTCAAACAAATCGAAACGATTATCATAGGCCATATGAAAGTTTGACTTCATATAATGAAAAATTGAGTTGGATCAATGGACGGTTTTAGTACGAAGAGCCTTGAAACACAAATTGTGTGTATTCATAAGAATTGTGAGACGATATGAACACGAACCATCGGCAAAAGTCTTCAGCTTTGAAATTTAAATTTCCAAACAACTTCTGATAAGATTGGTTGAGATCATGTGATCCGAAGTTCAAAAAAAAAATATAGGATCAGTTGGGATTTGATATCCTCCATGAACAACTTTATCTGTAAGTGATACCATATTAATATATGATTTCAAAATTTGAACGGAAATCCTTCTTTCGTCTGCATTATAAGGAGACGAAAATTTGTAGGGAATAAGAAGATTGGATGAATTCTTTATCATCATTCAAAATTTGGAATACTATTATGTAAAGATATGTCCCTTATATCATTGATTTGGAGGAAGGGATAATCTGTCTATCGGATTTGTAGGGATTTGGTTGAACTATAAACGTGAAATCCGTTCATCATTCAGCTACGTTTTTTTTTGTTTTTATTTATTTTAATTATTTTGTTTTGTGCATTTTTAAACATAGAAAATTAAGAAAATGCCACATATGATAAAATCCTATGTGTCAATTGCCCCTTGACTTTAGATTTCTCTATCCGGTTTTTGCCTTAATATAGTATATAGAAGATTACAAGGTTAGATGTTAAAAATTCCCTTAAACAATAACATTGTTTTAAAGAAAATAGAATAAGAGAGGGGTTGTTAACAAAAAGCCTAGATTAGTTCAAATGTTTACATTTTGTTATATCTATCAACTAGATTTATATTTTATTTTTAATTTTTTTATTTATCCAGTGTTTTAATCTTACTAGAGCACCTGCAGAGTTCAAGAGCTAGTTCTGTCCTGCAAGCCGGTGTCCTGCTTAGTACTAGAGTGTGTGAGCGAATGACTACCCTCAAATTATGCTATTAATTACTCGTTTCCACAGCATTACCATTTTAGATTATTTTGATATTATTACAAAACTTGAAGTATTTATAAATCATTTAAAACTTTTTTTTTGGTAACACGGGAATCCCACCAGAGATTGGTAAACCCACGCCCACTGCAATAACCTGCAAAACACAGTAGGAGGTAAATCACTCTAGGCAAGCTTGGGGTGACAAGCTCAAATCATTTAAAAACTTATTATAAGAATATATCATTTCTGTTTCACAAAAATAGTTCATGTTGAGTTTTTAAAATATTTTACTAAGACCATTATAAATTTTAAAATTTAATTCCGACTTTTTAGGGTTTCTTTTTCTTTGTTTTTTGACAAATTAATAGAGTAACATTTTCGTACCATTTTCAGCCACCGGGGATAGACTTGTAAGGAGGTGATGATGGTCCTCAACGTATTTTTCTCCAAGTACGGGTTTAGACTTTTGAGCTATATAACAAAGTTTAAGAAGAAATTGGGCCCAAAATGTTAGCCTTATTCTGACTGTTACTACTCCAAGAAGATGAGATCCAAGCCTTCAATAAATCTGCTCCGCCTTTGTAATGCACCGGCAAAACCAAAACGGCAAAGAAATCAACTGAATCGGAGGGATTAATCAGAAAATATGGACGGACGAAATTGGGAACAAGGGTTCATGGAACACCCCGAAGGGGCAAATAACTGTTTTCAATTCAATTCATCTTTCTTCGATAATGAATTTCAGACCCTATCAGACTATATATAGTCCCATGGTTTTCCGAAACTACAAACATGACCCTATACTATTGAATTGAGACGATGAAGTCTTCAATTCATGACAAACCCTCTCCCTTAAATCAATCTAGTCTCCAAGACTGACATTACAGAAAATACTACTCAACTAAACAGCACTTAGCATAAGACCATTTCACCAAATAGCTGAAACAGAAACTACAAAAATGATAGTAACATCACCAAGATAATTCTAATTTGGAAAACTATACAAAAATTGACAGAAATGCTGAAATTTCTTTATTGTTGAACCTTCCCTGTCAACTGTGAAGATCCACTGCAAGATACGTTTGTAGCTCTTGTATTCTGAGAGGATCACAAGGAAACCACAGCCGAATTCTTCATTTTGAGCCCCAACAATCAGTAGTGTTGACCAAGCAACCTTCCATACGAAGTTTGATTTTTCCAGTGATGTAGTATGCTTCCTATGACCTTCAAATTTTGGGTTACCACCGCTGAAACATGCATACATTTGAATCCATTTTCCTGTTTTCAACAACATGGTTCCTCCTTTGAACTCTGCTATAACTTCTACCCAAGGTCTGGATAACTTACTGGTTTCAGCACTGTGATCAACTCTAGATTTTTCAGTTGCATTCAATTCCTTTGGCAACGGGGAAAACACATCAACAGAGTTCACAGAGGTAGCATTCAAGATTTTAAGCAAAACATCTCCATTGTTGGAAACCAGGAATTTACCAAGAGTTCCGAGATCATCATCATTTAGAACATGTTTCCCTTCATCATAACATTCAGAAACGATTGTGCCGCCCCTAAAACAGGATACCAACGATTCCCAGGGTTGATCCCACTTCATCATTTTAGTCAAGGTTTCAAGTACACGCACTAAATTCAGTTCATCCTTATACTGCCTAAGTGCTTTGACAAAACCCCGACACTTAGCATGATTCATTGTTGCCATAGGACTGTTTAGACATAACAATCCACTCGGATCAAATGTAACCGGACAGCTAGCATTTCCACTAAGAAAGGATTTCAGAAACGATTCTAAACCAGCAACGCAAACTGACTCATTCGGAACACCATTCAGTTCAGCAATATGCAACAATTCATCAGAATTCACATTAGGATCACAGTTGTTCCCCACAATATCACTAACAGCATCAATCAAACTCATGTCATCATCATGGTCTTTGATAATACCGTCTAAACTCTCAAAATCATCATCCAATTCCAACTGAACATCATCATAACCCACAGAGTCCGTAAGGTTCACAGCCAGAGAGGGAAAATTACCTTGATCTAAAAATGATTCACAGTCCTCCCGATAGTTGGTCACTATTGTTTGCCCGATGACCTCGCCAAATCGAAACTCCAACTGCTCAATAAGTAGTCACATAGGTCAAAATCGAAGTTCCAACAAAGTGAGTCACATAGTTTATATTTTTTAGTTTTACGAGATTTTTTTCTCTTCTCTTTGTTATCATTTTTCCCCCTTTTCGATAATACCATTGTTGGAGGTGCAACTTTACTTGTACCGACAACCATTCATGGGTCCGATAATATTCTTTTATGGCTTATTGGGCCGGCTAAAGCCCTAACAATGGCTCAAGCCCATCATTGAAGGAATATTTTCAGGGAATATTCCCCTCACCTTATCTATATATATCCCGTTTTTGGTGGTTGAGAGTAAGCTCTTCCTCCTACTCCATTCTTGGATCACATTTTATACATTCACTCTTGACACTGACTTGCTCGTCGGAGTGCTAACCCTTGTTTTGCAGGTCTCAGGTCCATATATCGTTGACCCTCGTCGTAACAGAATTCACCCTCGACAAGTGGCGCCGACTGTGGGGAACACTTTGTGTTCCTGATTGAAGGTGAATCTCGAGTTCTGGATGTCTATGGATTTGACCAATAAGGGTTTTGAGCTTTGAAATGGTAGCCTCAGCAACAAGCCATTTCAGTCCGAGGACGCCCACATGTCCAAGGACGCCTCTATGTCCGAAGACGCCCCCATGTCCGAGGACGCCATTTCAGTCCGAGGATGCCCACATGTCCGAGGACGCCTCTATGTCCGAAGACACCATCTCAGTCCGTGGACGCCATTTCAGTCCGAGAACGCCCACATGTCCTAGGACACCCACATGTCCGAGGACGCCTCTATGTCCGAGGACGCCATTTCAGTCCGAGGACGCCCACATGTCTAAGGACGCCTCTATATCCGAGGATGCCATCTCTGTCCGAGGATGTCATTTCAGTCCGAGGACGTACACACGTCCGAGGACGCCTCTATGTCCAAGGACGCCCCTATGTCCGAAGACACCATTTCAGTTCGAGGACGCCCTTTTCGTCCGAGGACGCCCACATGCCCAGGATGCCCACATGTCCAAGGACGCCTCTATGTCCGAAGACACCATCTCAGTCCGAGGATGCCCAGATGTCTGAGGACGCCCACATGTCCAAGGACGCCTCCATGTCTGAAGACGCCCATCTCAGCCCGAGAACGTCAACATGTCCGAGGACGCCACTATAGCCCGAGGATGCCCCCATGTCCAAGGACGAAAGCCATTAGTTCGAGGACGAAGGCACCAGAAAGTCAGCAAAGCCCGTCTCGATCCCTGTGGTCGACGGCACCGTGTGGCCTCCACGGCCTACGGCACTCCTACAGCCTCTGCGGTCTTGGAGTTTTTATAAGTCCGTCTCGATCCCCGTGGTCGACGGCACCGTGTGGCCTCCGCGGCCTACGGCACTCCTACGGCTTCTGCGGTCTTGGAGCTTTTATAAACCCGTCTTGATCCCGGTGATCGACGGCACCGTGTGGCCTCTGCGGCCTACGGCACTCCTACAGCCTCCGCGGTCTTGGAGCTTTTATAAGCTCGTCTTGATCCCCGTGGTCGACGGCACCGTGTGGCCTCCGTGGCCTACGGCACTCCTACAGTCTCCGCGGTCTTGGAGCTTTTATAAGCCCGTCTTGATCCCCGTGATCGATGGCACCGTGTAGCCTCCGTGATCTACGGTACTCCTACGCCCTCCGGAGTTTTGGAGCTTTTATAAGCCCGTCTCGATCCCCGTGGTCGACGGTACTGTGTGGCCTCCGAGGCCTACGGCACTCGTACGGCCTCCGCGGTCTTGGAGCTTTTATAAGCCCGTCTCGATCTCCGTGGTCGACGGCACCATGTGGCCTCCGCGGCCTACGGCACTTCTACGGCCTCCGCGGTCTTAGAACTTTTATAAGCCCGTCTCGATCCCCGTGGTCGACGGTATCGTGTGGCCTCCGTAGCCTACGGCACTCCTATGGCCTCCGTGGTCTTGGTGCTTTTATAAGTCCGTCTCGATCCCCGTGGTCGACGGCACTGGGTGGCTTCCGCGGCCTATGGTACTCCTATAGCCTCCATAGGCCTTGATGCATTGGAACCTGTCTTGCCTTCCAGAAGGCACGAGTTCAAAGGCAGATGCTACTGACAGCCTGGAGGTACTCGAGAGTCAGTCAGACCCCTTCGACCTTCCGAGGATGATGGCCCGATACTGCCACACTTAATCCGATACATGACATCTTTCTAAGATCTTTTGTGAATGTACCATGTTTTCTTTTTATCTTGAAGATCTAGCATACATGTAAATTGTGCCAACTCAAATACTATAATGATATAACCCATCTTGCCCCAGATTTGGCTGATGAGCACTAATTACTCCTTGAAACCGTGTCGGTAAGCTTGTGGGTACGAAACTCATATGGTCTTGGTTTGCCTTTGGGTTAGAAGCTCACGTGGCATTGATCAACCTTCGAGTTTCACACTCGTATGGGTTTGACTTGTCTTCGAGTTGAGCACTTACACGGTGTCGATTAGACTTGGAGTTACACGCTTCTACAGTTTAGATCCACCTTTGAGACAACAACCCCTTACGGCATCGGCTATCTTTTGAGTTTTATGCCCAATAAGCTTTCGTTCGCTTATGATTTACACCCGTAGTCTCGATCAGCCCTAGACTCGGCCTAACTTCATCCGTGAAATCCTTCTGCTTCCTTGCTAAGCAGGGGGAGGGGGGGGGAGGGAGGCTCCTAAGGTGGACGATGTTGCTTTTTATTGTAGCTTACCTGGTCAACAAGCATCAAGGCAGGGGGGGAGGGGCAAAGAAGTTTAAATAACACCTTTACTTCAAAATCCTCTCAAACTTTTTTCTATTATCATCTCAAATATGATAACTTTTCATGTACTCATGTTCATCCAATCGAATGGAAACATGACGAACGGCATAAGTCATACGGCTTCGACTAGCCTTAGGGTTAAAAACTCACATAGCGTTGGTCAACCTTTGAGCTCTATAATCATACGATCCTAACTCGGCTTCGAATTATACGCTCTTATAATTTTGACCACCCTGAGTTAACAACCCTCACGGCCTCAATCAAGCCTCTTTATCTCATACTCTCTCGACTCTGGCTCTATCTCGAGAAAGATACACACACGTACTTGATCAGCCTAGGGGTCGTACAAACTCTGTATTGGCTAAACACGGCCAAGGGACATTAATCACCTACGTAACTCCAATCAAGTAATTAGCCAACTATACTCAAACACGCGTCTTATCTATGGAAGCAAGCTTATCCCAACAAGTACGCCGTCGACCACCGTGGCCGATGGTGCTCTTGCGCCCCCTGGGCCGTGGAGCTCTCTCAAAATTGTGCCGACCCCCGTGGTTGATGGCACCTATTGCTCTTTGGGCTTACAACTTCTTTATTACACTGAAAAGTTATACAAATTCCATAAACCCATACACAAAAAACACGCTTCTAACACGTTTCTAAATATAAAACTTGGGGGAAGGGACGATCACTATCCTCTAAACGTCTAACAAAAGTTTTATATATGTGAAATAATAAATTAGTAGGCGCGTACATAAACAATCAATTGTCATAACAACGTATAAGAGGACGGAGCAAACAAGTGAAAGGAAATAAAAGGTAAGGAAGTGGGTTTGTTTTTTCAAAATATTCCATTCTATTCTATCACTTCCTACGAATACACTTGCCCTGGCAACTAAAGCCGGATCTACTCCCGATTAGGATGACCGTCGTCCTAACTCATGAAAGAGCTTGGTTATATCCACCACTCAGCCTCGCATATAAGTGATCCAGGGACGACCCACATTCGGGGCAAGGTTCGGGCCATTGGGATCGGAAGTCGTAATCCTTACCTCTTTCTACGATAAAATGGATAGCGTCTGTTAACGCCGACCGCAACTGACCAGTGTATGCCCGAAGCAACGATATTCTGTCGGAGGCTCCATCCCACTTCACGGCTACTAATGCTTAAGCCCGCCGAGGGCGAATCAAAACGCTTTCATAGTAGTTAAATTGGATGAAGTCTTCAGAGTTAGGTTCTACCTATCTAGGCGCCTATTTTCCGCCCGTTTTCTAAGCGCCATATTAAGCCTTCAGCGCCATTGGCACCCCTTTATTGAGTGACCTTCATATTACCCGATGGTGGCAATACCTTTCATTCTTTCAACTCTCGCCCCCGAGAGAGAAAGCAATTCTTATTAATGTATCCTTCGGGTCGAATCATAATCCCCGATGATGCATTGTTGACTTCACGCGAATTTAACGATAGTCTTCGATGGTATTCGGACAACACTTTGTTATGCTCCGTCGCCATCTTTCTTATCAAAGCGTGACTTCTTCTCTAGAGTTTATATATATATATATATATATATATATATATATATATATATATAATACTCGGCTTCAACGACCAATGTCGCGCTAATCCTCCTGGCTCAGTCCATTATGACGCAGGTCAATGTGGGAGTCTGTTTATTGACTCATCTAAAGTTTAGAATTAGACTCCTCCTGTTTACCTGCGCTTGTGAATATCTTTCTATCTTTGAAGATGAAAATGGCAACCTGTTTGCCCCACCTCCTTCGAGTACAAGCGTACACTAATTATTCGTCTCGACAATATCCCTCGGCTTACTACAGGCCGCTGAGATTTATGTCTTCTCGACGACGCCCCTCGTTCTGTCCGATCGCTTACACACTTGTCCAAGGGTACTGGCATGAGGATTACTCCCCTTCGCTTATCTGTTGATTATCGCGAGTGTCCTTTTCTGAAAACATCATACGGGGGCAACTTCTTAGCTCTAATCACCCCTCCTGACGGTTGAACTACCTACTGACTATTGACGTTCCGATGATCATCGTACGCCTCTTCCCTTATCGTCAGGGTTCACATCTTGCTCACGGAACGTCCGTGATGCCTTCGGCCTTTATTGAAGCCATCACTGTTGGTTTTCGTCACTTGACAACTTAACCAGCGTCAGCTTATTCTAAAGTAAAATTTTGACCCCTCATTGGTCGTCTTCAGCTGATGATAACCTAACTCAGTCCGGTGGTCCATCATGATCCACTTTTCATTGTCTCTACCTATGTAATCGAAGCTTCAGACCTCATTTGTGTCCGCGGGGGACCACGGATGCCCTTACTATGTTATCCGACGTATCGGACAACGTCGGACTCTAAACTCATGCTCCTAAGTAATTAGTAATTCGATGATGATTTCCCTTGGTCTACCCTGTGCCGACACGGGTTGTAATTAACTTACATCGTGTCCATAGAAACCTTTTGGCCTTCCTTGGGCATCATTATTGGCTTTGGTTACTTGGCTACTTCATTAGCTTTGGTTTATCTCCAGCGAGCTTTTAGCTCCTCGGACGTTCATCCTCATCTGTTGACAATCAGATAATGTTCTTCTATCGAGTCATTCTACACTATATGTCTAGGGTTCAGACAAAAGGCTGGGTTAACCTTAGGATCGAACTTTTCCTTACATACCCGCTATTGACCGATCATGCAGCATTTACAAACTTCTGTCTGTCATGCCCCAACGAGGTATATCTGTGTTGTTGTTCCAACCTGTCACCTGCCGTCACAAGCCTTGACGTTACCTCTTCGAGAAGAATTCTTTGTCATCTTCTTTCTTTCTTGACCTCTTTGTTAGATCAGGAATAAACTCCTCAAATGATTTGTGTCTCTTCGCTCTGGTGTCCACACAAGTGACGTACTCGGTTGCAGCTTATCTCTGGGCATGTTCGGTAACCAAATGCGACGGTTCCCTCGACAAGGGTTCGGCATGACAATGTTTTGCACTCCGCTTACAGTTACCTGTTATTACTCTTCAGCCACCACGAAGGATTATGGGTTTATCCGATCAGGTAGACCCCTGAATGGACGGATCCCCCGTGAGTCCGCACTACATCTCCATGTTATTATTTGCCAAGTATTGTATTTGAACCCTGTTATTGCATATATGTGCTTCTCTACTAACACTTGGCAGGGGCACTTGTTAGAGGTGCAACTTCACTTGTACCGACAACCATTCATGGGTCCGATAATATTCCTTTATGGCTTATTGGGCCGGCTAAAGCCCTAACAATGGCCCAAGCCCATCATTGAAGGAATATTCTCAGGGAATATTCCCCTCACCTTATCTATATATACCCCATTTTTGGTGGTTGAGAGTAAGCTCTTCCTCCTACTCCATTCTTGGCTCACATTTTATACATTCACTCTTGACACTGACTTGCTCGTCAGAGTGCTAACCCTTGTTTTGCAGGTCTTAGGTCCATAGATACCGTTGACCCTCATCCTAACAGAATTCACCCTCGACGACCATATATAAAGATAATAATAATTAAAAGGCTCACTTTGTTGTAGAATCCCACTTCTTTAATATATAAAGATAATAATAATTACTCTCATTCTTTATGGATCTCGTTCGTATTTGTATTAGAGTTAGCGTGCTACGAACGCTCATATTATAAGTAGATATTGAAATATAAATCTACGGTTCACTAAAAATATAAACATTTTTTTATTATAATCATGAGTCATCAATTTTTAAATAAAAAAGTCAAAACTATTATTTCCTTGGACTAATTAGTCATTTAAGAGATTTTACAGGCAAATTTTATATAAAACTATACAGCGGTTCAAAGTAAAATTAAAACTTGGAACTTTGCAGTAAAATTGCAAAACCACCAATTTCGTTTTATGTTTTTTATTTTTAATCTATATATGTACTTGTTTCCCCATCTTCCTTTACCGACCGCCATGTGATATTGGAGATAATTTGACCCTTCGGGGGTATTCCTAAATTTGAGGAAATTGTTCGGGTTTTATTGTAATTTAAGCTTTTCCTTTTCCTATTAGTACTTCCAAATTTGCAATCTTTATTTAACTTGGACGGAAGGAGCCCTCTCTCTGCTGTGCTTCTTTCTGCAGAAGTGAGAATTAATCAGTCCCTCAAAATCCTTAGAAATCCTTCCAATTCTTAAAAACCTAGGAAAATCACACACCCCTGCTAAGGTTCAACCATGGCGAGAAACGAAGAGAAAGCTCAGTCTATGCTCAATAGGTTCATAACCATGAAGGCCGAGGAGAAGAAGAAACCTAAAGAGCGCCGCCCGTTTTTAGCCTCGGAATGCCGGGATTTAGCGGAAGCTGACAAATGGCGTCAGCAAATCATGCGCGAGATCGGGCGGAAAGTGACGGAGATTCAGAACGAAGGGCTTGGTGAACACAGGCTTAGGGATCTTAACGATGAAATTAATAAGCTGATTAGAGAAAAGGGGCACTGGGAGAGGAGGATTATTGAGCTTGGCGGGCCGAATTACATAAGGAATTCAGCCAAGATGACCGATTTGGATGGGAATATTGTTGATATTCCAAACCCAGGTGGACGTGGGCCTGGATATAGGTATTTTGGGGCGGCGAAGAAACTTCCTGGTGTTAAAGAGTTGTTTGAGAAGCCTCCGGAGTTGCGGAAAAGACGAACGAGGTAATGTATAACAGTTTTTTTATTATGTTCTTTGGTATATTTTTTTGTATGATGGTGGATGTAATTTGTGTTTAAAAAATGAGCGAATTTCGTTTGCTGAATTTACCTTTTTGATAATGTTGGTGATTTCCATTCCTCTACTTCGAAATTTGATAACAATACATTGTAGCTTATGGGGGTGGGATTCTGCAAGCCTTTCAATTTGAAGTGGGAGCCTGGCCATTGTAATTTAGCAGGAATAGTTGTAGGTTTATTTTTGTCAGTGAGAATTTTTAAGTGAACTTTTTTGAGTTGAGGAACTAGTTGCTGTTGCAATTATTCATTTGGAAGTGTTACTTCTATATAAACTTTAACATGGGAAGAGGCGGGCCTTTGATTTAAAATATGGCTGTTAAGAGGAGAAAACCAGGGTTAGATTCCTTTTTTGGAGCTGCAGGTGTTGAAAGTACATTTGTCTGATTGCATCTGTTATTTGCCGTTATACCAGTGAATTTGGATGGTTATTCCTTCGGTTGAGTTCAAAGAGTGACAAGATATCCTACGTAAATCCTAGAAAATATTCGATATGGCTGCCTTTTATTTGGAGCAGGAAGTCTTTCATATTAATGCTTACTAAAAATAATTCTTTGAAGATTCTGTGTGATTTAAGTTTATTTTTGGTGTTATAGGTTAAATCTTGACTTTAGGCACATGATTAAATCAAGTTCAGTCTTTTGTTGTATTTCGGTATCTGTTATGCTCTGCCCATCGGTGATGTTTGTTTCTGACTTTGTTCTCCATTGCCTTAAGGTATGATATTTATAAGAGGATTGATGCAAGCTACTATGGGTATAGAGATGATGAGGATGGGATATTAGAAAAGTTAGAGAAGCCATCAGAGGAGACGATGAGGGCTGACGCAGTAGAAGAATGGGTACAAGTGGAAAACATAAAGAAAAAAGCAAGAGAAGCTGTGAAGAGTGGGGAGGTTGCAGAGGTAGGATTAGCTCGTCAAATCTTACGCGAGGAGGAAGAAGATGTAATTGAAGAAGAGAGGAGAATGTTGTCGGAGAAGGAGAAGGAAAAGGAATTTGTCGTACATGTTCCTTTGCCAGATGAGAAGGAGATTGAGAAGATGGTTTTGCAAAAGAAGAAGGAGGAACTTCTTAAGAAGTATGCCAGTGAGGATTTAGTGAAAGAAGAGAGTAATGCAAAGGCCATGCTTAATATCCATAGGTAGATGTTAGGTTGATCAAGCGTCTTGATAAAAAGTAGCGAGCTTATGTGCTTGGCGGCTTCTTGGGAAGTATGGCGATTATGGATCTTATCTGCTTCTGATTGCAACTTTTTTAACTTGTTCTCAGTTCTAGTGGAGATGACAAGTAAAAATAGTGTTACTCATAATTAACTTCTTTATATGCCCTGTTCTTCTGTTTCTTTTGGATATCATTCATGTTTTCTTGTGTTGTTTGCCAAAGAAAGCACATTATTTGCTTTCTTGTATCATCATGTGCAGTTTGATTGTGTCGGTATCTATTACAATTACAGCCTTTGGGTTCAACACTACCGAGTGCCTTGTGTTTCTGCTAATCTCTTGTGCACTACTTTCCCTTAATTCTTCTCAGAATAATACAAGCGTTATCGATTTTACAACTTCACTGTGTTCTACTAAATGGTTATTTATTTTTCTTGTACTAGTACTTTACTGGTCACCATGTCCCACTTTGAAGCCTAAGACTATAGAGGGGCCTTTGATATCACTTACAAAGCATAAGGGCCGCGTTAACCTGTTCTTTTTGTAAAGGGGTTATCGATAGAGTAGAGCAGGAACACCAAGACTTCAGTTATCGGCATCATCGAACAACCTCGGTTATTTCTGAAGTTGCAGTTTTGAACAACCTCGGTTATTTCTGAAGTTGCAGTTTTGGACCTGAATCTTGCAGGAACGTACCACAAGTGTCAAAACTCAAAATGAAGAAAGAGTACAGGTTGAAGCAAACAAATCAGGTCGCCTTCGGAGTCGTCTCTAATCCCTAAATTCTTCAAACTGCAGTGTTCTTTATTTAATAGTTTTTGCGGCCAATTCATTACTTTTCGAATACACTGAACCAGATGGATCAGAACATCATCAAGAATGATTGCAAGGACCTTCTGAGAGACTAATGCTGCGTCAGGTACCTTTAGCACCTCCTGAAACATATCGAATTGCTGTCCTATGTCGATCTCCAGGTCATTTTCTTTCTCCAAACAACCATCAAATTATGACAGTGTCGTGTGGAATGCACGCTTGACTCGAGTATATAATCCTGAAAAGAACACATTCCAGCAAATGGTTAACTTTCTAGATTCATTTGTATTCGTCCATATTTACAAAATTGACGGCAAACGAACCATTGCAAGTCATTTTATCAAATGGGTTGATATGCTGGCAAATTAACCATCATATCAAGGATGCCGTCATTGCGACCAAAAGGAAGTTTACTAGTTATTTTATCGGCTCAGTTTGGAATGACGACATCATGTATATTAGTATATTTTTCCTCGGTATTGAAATCATTGTCCAGTTTGGATTTTTATTTCTTATACAAATTGAAGTAAAAGTGAAAATCGAAACTAAACAATAATTTAGGAACGTAAGAGTATGTGTTTTTGGACTAAGAATTCAGTTTCAAAAATCAGTAACAGGTGATTTCATAACCTTTTGTCATAGAAAACTAAGACCACTGGGGGAGTTCAAATTCCAACCATCCCCGAACATTAAGCATTTCCAATCATCGTTCTTCTCCTCTCTCTGCCTCGTCCCCTCTCTTCTTTAATTTCTACTTCTCCGATGATTATGTGATCGTCGCAACGAACCTTGATCAGCTACAAATTGGTGGTTATTTGCCCATCTTAAGTGGGGAGCTTCAAATAAAATTTTAAACCACTTTTCAGCCAGTACCACCTAAAGATAACAGTTAATCCAAAAAAGATTATTCATTATACATTACATATGAAATTACAAAACAATAAAACAAATTTGACGTATTTCCGATCTGATGTACCTCTATTCACTCACATCAATCAATATTTTCTATAATTAGCCAAGAATAATTACACTTATTATTATTACTATTATTAGGGATGTACACGGTCTGGGTGGTCCTGTAAACCAAACCATTAGAACGGTTCGGAAAATTTTGAATCTAATACCAAATCGGTCCATATTTAAAAATCGGACCATACCAATCCGTAATTAACGGTTTAGTTTATATGGTTTCACGGTTTTATTCTCACTTTATTTTTTTTTAAAAAAAAAATCTGAGGCCAAAATTTGGACCAAAACAAAGACTTTTTCTACTAATTTCAATTCTACATATGTAAAAAAACTAAAAGTCCACACCTTTAATCTCTTACTTGGTTTAGGTAGATTTTGATTTTATAGTTTAAGAAATAAGAATTTCAATAGTTACGCTTTAACTTTTGTAAGTTCAAAAAAATATTTCAAAAAAAAAAAAAAAACACTGGAAAAGCTTTTGAGAGACAACAAAAAAATATTGAAAAAGAAAAAAAAAACGCAGGAGGAGAGCTTTTGAAATCCTAAATAAAAATATAAAAAAAGGTAGAAAAACAACTCAAAAAGAGAGATTTAAGGAAATCGAAACTAGGAGTTATGACTAAATATGATATTGAGTTAACCAACTCTACTATATATCTCACAACTTGTAACTATTACAACACATTTCTACACATATAAGAATTCTATTACATATATAATATATACTAGATGCTTGGCCCGGACAGATGTCCGGGCGCCCCTCCACTTTAATTTTGTGTTAATCGATAAATAAATTCTTGATTTGAAAAAAATAAAAATAGCTACACATTTAGTTTTTTTTTTTCCCTTTTTTAGCCAAAAATAAAAATAAAAATAAAAAAATCATCTGCCAAAGGAGAAAAAATATTGAAAAGTATAACAATGCAGAAATCATACAAAGGAATGTGGAGTAATTAAGGGGATAAGTTTATGGGCAAATTTAAATGCTATTTTAATTTTATTGATAATGATAAATGTTAGGAGTTAAAATTGTATAGCTATTTTTGTAAAGTAGCTTTTGTTTCTCCAGATAATAATTTTTTTTTTCTTTGAAAAGGGATGACATGTGGCAGAATTGTTTAACGCAATATGGTGCATTTGGAGCCAAAAATTTTTAATAAGAAGTTATCACATCAACATCATGTATTCTACTTTAATAGGATAAAAGGGATAATAACTAACATAAACGGTTCGGTTTGATTTAGCCAACGGATTTTGAGTATGAAACTGTGAACAAAACCATTCCTTTTGGTTTCTAAATTTTTAAACCACCGATCCAAAACCAAATCACGGTCCGAATTGACCGGTTTGAACCAATCCGTGCACACCCTTAACTATTATGGAGAGAATTATTTATTCATTATAGATTAAATATAAAATCACAACACAATAAAATCAGATAACAGTTCTACTTAAATCTTTTATCCTCTCACAGATTGCGTGATCTTCATTAAAAAAAAAAAATTAGATCCACACACTTTCAATACCCATAAAAAATTCGAACTACTATTTAAACACAACTCCAGTAAATGCACCCATCCACACTTTCCATCCGATCATTCTGTACTTGATCCAGATTCGATATCTACAATAGAATATCTATAAATTAATAATCGATAAATTAATAATATCTATAAACTAATAATTTTCCCTGGTCTCAAGTTGGGACCAGTACAAAAATAAAGGCAATCAATAAATAATAAAAGAATATTTTTTTAGAAAACTCCTATGTAAATATAAGCCCCGCCAGTCTCATAAATTAATGATGACTTGAAACATTAAAAAATATTAAGAGATGTAAAATATGAATCTAATAACCTATGTTTTTTCTTGAAACTTACATCTAAAGGATTTCATCCTTGATTTGTTTTTCATTTCTTTCAAAAGCTCGTGTAGATTTTTCATATTGCAACAAAAAATTTCTAAAAGTTACTGCTCCATTAAGTGCTTCATTTCATATAATTGGTCTCGAAAACAGTGGAACATTGTCATTTTCATAGTAAGTCAAAGTTTTAGTGACAACAACTACAATGTCTTCAGAAATTTTATAAATTAATTATTAATTTATCGAGTCTCCATAAATTAATAATTAATAATAATTGTTATTAATTTAACAATGTCTTCAATAAATTAATATATCTATAACTTGATAACTTTTGGGGCGCTAATAGTATTAATTTATAGATGTTTTATTGTGCATTATTTTTACTTTAATTTCGCTCATTCTTTGATAGTGATATGAAATATGTACATGTTATGTTTGACGTGAGCAAAATAAGGTTTTTCCTCTATGCATTCGTCCACACTCACCAACTGTCTTTCTCATATCTTTGATGTTCTGTTGGGCTTTAGAACTATTCCAATATCATAAACATATCTGCTGAGGTCTTTCCGGGAGTAATCTCAAAATAATTATCATTTGTGTATTAAGTTTTATAATATTGTGCTTAAATGGACCGGGCAACGCCCGAGTATGTACCTAGTTGATTTAACGATAGATGAAGGAGGATTAGAGTTTGCCAAAATCCGGTGTTGGATTTGATTAGAGGGATGGCCCAACCTTCGATGCCAGATTTCTGAGCTGATGGTCAAGGACACAGATTGTTGACACTTAGAGAACTTGAAGTTGGAGTTGAACGGCCACTCATAGGGCGTCTTGGGGCTTCGACCTTTCATCAAGGGTGCCCCCATGCATAAATCCTTCACAAGAAAATTATGAAGAAAGAATTCAACAAAAACTAGATTATATTAGTAAAATGAGAGGTTGAGATTAAGTCTTTCCGAATGAGGAGTGCACACAACATTATTCAAGACATATGAGGCACTTTGCGAATTATGAGAAGTGGAACCATAATGAGTAATAGAAACTCCTTTACCATCACCAACAATGACGTCTTCATTACCAAAATAATTAGAGTGCATGGATTGATTCTTTAGATCTGAAGTGATATGATGAGTTGCCCCCGAATCAAGTAGCCACTTGTTATTTGATTGATGAGAGGAGTTGCCTACATAGTGGACTTTAGGCTGTACAAGGAGAGTGGATTCTTGGATCTGCAAAATTTGGCACTTTGGCCCGATTGATCACATAATTGGCAAACAACATGTTGAGTAGAGGCATTACCATATCCATTGAGATTAGAGGAGGACTTTGGACGTCTAGTTGGTGGCTGGCCAAGCAATGACTTATTAGGACGATATGAGAAACTAGCCACTTGATAATTTCCATGAGCGCCAGAGTTGAAGGTGCGGTCTCCTCTAAATCCACAACCACCACCGCGATTTCTGCCTCTAGTTCCCTATCATTATTGTGCAAAGTTGACACAACTTGGGCTTCATCTTCTTCCTTTGGAGAGACTCCATGATTCTGCACCAGTTCCTCATCATTAAGTTTATCAAAAACAAATCTTTAAAAAGTTATTGGTGCATCACAAAATGAATTGCCGTAGCCAATTCTTTAAATTCATCACCGAGGTCACCCAAAGCAACTGAAATCATTTGGCCAATTAGATAGAGGATATCCCATGATAGCGAGATCATCTGCAAGGGACTTGATGGGTGTGTTTGACCGATTTGTGAACCTAAAGTTCAACTTGTCCCGTGCTTTTGCAGAAGTATTATATTCGTTAATTGTGGGACCAATAGTGCTATGAACGGTGGCCTGAATATTGAGAAGAACCAACCAATCTTGTCTTGTCCAAAACAAGTAGTTGGTATTAGATTGAGGAGTGCATTGGTTTGACCCATCAACAAAGCCAAGAAAGCCATAACCAAAAAGAGGATTAG